CACACAAACTGATAAACCATCTGTGGTCACACGCTGTTGAAATCTCTGCAAACATGAGTCCAGATATACAATTTCTCCAAATCAGTCAGTCCTAAATCAAACAATTTTCTTAAAACCAAATTTCAAATTACAATTTTCTTGTAAGAATCTTTTTTAATCACATAAAAGATAACTATTCAGTAACCATAAACAAGAGAATGGACTTGTACAAAAATACCAAATAAGGTCACAAAGCATGTAATATACTTTATTTATCACACATCTCCTACCTTGAAACAATAGAGTATGTCTGAAGTCACCTGTCCCCCAAACTAATGGTACATAACTGTATTTTTCAAATGCACCATATGGCTGGAGAAAATTCAAAATGTCTGCCACTCATCAATATCTCTACTTGTAGCAGCTCTAGGTTACAATGCATGGACCCTGTTAGCATAACAATACCTAACTATAAGCAACGCAGTAGCATGTCGGCTAAAAATTTGGATGGGATGTTTTTGAACGGATAGCAGTTGGCTCCAGCTAAGATTCAGCAGTTGTCAAACTTGGTGCACATGTATCAACGTATGTAGAAATTATCATAAAAAATTTTTCTGTTTACAGCGAAAATACCTTTGGAATGAAGCCACTGTACAGTCATTATTAATGCATAGCTAACACTGAATTACAAATTGGAACACTGTTATCACTATCATCATCATCATCATCATGTTACCAGCGAGATGAGTCACATCATATTAATTACCATGAAGAGCATTAATTAGTTTCTCAACACTGTTGTACTTCAAAGAAGAAAGTCATGCCAATTCAGATGAAACAGTGGGAGATGGTTAATCCAATCATCTTAATGACCAAACATCCGTATCGCATGAGTATGTGATATAACCTTCTATCACTCGACTAGGGTATATAAACGATGTCACATCCTGTGCAGCAGGGGTCGGTTCCGAGGTCCACACATAGGTTAAATCAACATGCAGCCATTAACAAAACAGTAAAAATGATTGAATTTGTATGACCTTATATATCCATGTTATTCATTACTTAAGTTATTAGTCATCTGAACTATTACTGAACATGACAAAATATATTCAAAATGAAAAGAGCTCAAATCAAGACTCATTATATGCACACCTTTTGTCAATTATGTCCGTTGTCGTTAGTCCTTTCCAGAAAACCAGGTCTTCAACATCGGAGTATCAAGGTCAGCGCAACATGTCCTTCGAGATCCTCTTCCTTATGTGCAACAGTGTTGACTTCTGAGATCATTAAAATAGATGACCTTTTGAATTCCTTTCAAAATGCGCAACGATGTTGATATATGTAGTTAAGGAAAATATATGTCTTTCAGAGTCCTCTTCCTTATGCCAAGGAGGCTGATGAGCTAGGTCAACAATGTGATGGGTCCACTTGTCCCTGAACAGTGTTGTACTCTGTATATGGAAGTACACACTTGATCTACAGCTCCTGAATGACCAGGGGCAGGTCACCGAGTCTTTGTGTCCGTAGCCCTGCTGCTCTCAACATTGGTCCCAACAGTGTTCAAGCCCCAGGCACAAGTAGGGGTTAACAAAGACCTTCTTAACATCAAAAAGTTTCAGGGGGGCCTCCTGGGTACTGAAACAACCCACCTGTCTCCTGTTGCCTAACAATTCCTAAAAAAATGTTATCGTATATGTGATTTGTTTCCAGATTTGAATTCAACTTTTGTGTAGCATCCGAAAAAAATTGCAATACAAATCCAAAATTCACATCCAAAGGTCCCACAACAGATTTTAATCCAATTATGTCCTGACCTCAACACAGAGCGTCGTCAGTAAGGGTGACAGTCAGTTGATTTGATTTCAACTTCTTTGTGAAGCATCCAAAAAATTGCAAAAAAACTCCGTTCACATCCAAGTGTCCCACAGCAGATATATATTCAGGTATATCCTGCCTGACCTCAATGAAGGACGTCCTCAGTAAGGATAGCTGTCAGCATCTACCCTGTTTCCTCCTTCACAATCAGCCTGGAGAGGTGGTCTACAAGTACTACGAATACTACAACCCCAAGTGGAGTGTGGCCGGGTGGGGTGCTGGCAACAGCCCTGTTATTAATGTCTGGTTGTAATGAGACTTGTTGAACAGCCAGCCTAGTTTTCACGTCCCTTAATCTAGACGACACAATCGGAAGCCGATCATGCAAGCGACACAATGCAAATCTTCATTGGAGACAGAGAAAAACCCAAATTTTATGGGAATGACTTGAATACCCGGATCAATATGGAGTCATTTTCCTCCGAGATCAGTTTCAATCTACTTAGTCTATGAATCAATCGAAAAATGCCGTTTGAAGTACAACATAGAAAAGGCTAGCCGTATTGGTATCGACTACCAATATTTGTTAGGGTATTCATGCTTGGGGAACAATAGACACGCACACATCTGTTGCCTTGTCAGGTATATTGACTAGCACATGCAACAGGTGTGTGGATTCTGACTGGGTGATGCAGATAGATAGGACAATAGGCAGTGGAGATAATTAGAAGCCAGGACAAAATATATTAAACAACGCCGAGAACGTAAAGTGTGTTTCTAAAGCTTGATCAATACACACAGGCATATTTAGAAAATTATTGTCTTTGTTTTATTACAATGTTTATCCCAACTTCGAAGCTGAACCTAGTTTTGACTTAGCAATAGGATTTTAGTTTCTAGGACATAATTCATTATTTATATTTCCAGGGACAATGAATTTATAGGAAGCCTGCATCAACAAGGCAAGAGGTTCATATTTCATCCGTATGTAGGTATTCTGCACGTCTGGTTAGTTGAAATGGCTTCCAAACCAAGTCAAATTGATCACAAAATCCCTGGAATTTTCTCCAGTGTATCATCCAGTCATATTCCCCAGAAAGGAAATATAGGATACATTACCATGGTTTAACCACAGTTCAGTGAAGCAGCAACACTTCCTTTCCAACAACTCACAGAATTAGTTTTTGTTTTGGTCTGCATAACATTTCCATAAATTAGAATTAGTTGTAAAGAATATGCAATGAGATAGTAACCACGGTAGCTGGTTGTGTTTCAGGTTGTCCATGCTTAACCCTCACACAAATACACTGTCAGCTAGCAAGGATTTACATAAAAGTAGAGGTCCAAACAATATAGGTTATCATAGAGTATGATAATGTTGGAGTTTTAAAAAAGTGACATTTTAAACTAACAGGACCAATTGTTAGAAAAAGGCATCAATATACTCACCGCCAAAAGAAACCCAAATACCATACAAGCAAATGTACTGTTATGTTGCGTGAATCGACTCTCATGAACGTATCACATTTGACGTCATAGATTCATGACGCGAGATGCACCATTTGTCTCGTGCAGTATTGGCATGAACAGTTTGGAAATCGCATGCAGCATTTCATGATAAGAATATAGACTCTGTGGTAACACTGACTGACTGTTAGTTTTGTCATTAAGTGGTAAACACTGGAAACATCTCTTGTTCCCATCTCCTCTCTATGAGTTTCTATGGTTCCCATTTCTTTTGGCGGTGAGTATACCTAAGTTATAACGTTTTCACAATAAATCTCTGAATTAAAAAAATAAAGACTTTCAAAAAGCACAAAACAAAAAATTCCCTATTTTCCAGCCACAGGTACATAATTCCTTAGCCCAGATAAATCCCTGCATTGAAAACTTTACCTAGCAAGTGTGTCATATCCGATATGCCCCACTTCAATATGTCATGCCCTAACCAATTGGGTCCATATCTCACAGCTGTGAATTCAAACCTGTGCCCTAATTGCAGGTGTGCCCTAATGTCAGGTGAGCACTAATTGCAGGTGTGCCCTAATGTCAGGTGAGCCCTGCAGCCTCCCCCTACCCCCCTGCCTGTGTTTCTGATGAACAAGACAACTCTCCTCTTTTTTTGCATGAGAAAACACAGAAACTTGTAAGTAATAAGGGTATGTTTAAAGGTGGGTAAATGTTTATATTGAGCAATTATTAACAAATGTTATATTTGGGACAACACTTTCTAAGTAAAGTACAGATACTCATAGTTTGGGGTTGAGTTCCATCCAGGATTCGAAACCCACAAAGTACGAGAATCTGTACTTTTCTAAGAAAGTGTTATCCCAAATATAACATTTGTCACATACGACCACTTTCTAAATAGCATTGTGTGTTCATGAGCAATTACTGTTTTGCTTTGTTTGTTGTTAAACACTTACACTCAATAATATTCTAGCTATATGACAGTGACCTGTAAATAATTGAGCGTGGGTCAGACGATCCATTGATTGGTATTGCAAGCAACATCAAGCATGTCACAGAGTTGGACCACCCAATCCATTTAGTTGCCTCTCAGTCCTTTCAGTCGTGTCACAAAGGTTGGTGGGGACTAATTCAAACCCAGAATCTGCACAGGGTTCGAGCACTATCACAACATGGGACACACATTGTACCATTATCGGGAAGTAAACCTGGGTATTCAACATGAGCGAACACCTCAACCACTACCCCACTAACCTTGGTTTTCTGGAGTCAAACACATACACACTGGTTCAGAAGGATCAAAATTGTTATCAATGGCATAATTCAACACACAATAATCATCAAAACAAAATCAATCAACATTACATGCTCAAATTCTCAAATCTGAAAAAAAGTTTTTCTCTGTTATTTAACGCTAAACTCAGCCATATGACAGCAGTTTGTAAATAATTGAGTCTGGACCAGACAATCCAGTGATGTCATCATGAGCATCAATCGATACAAATGGGATATGATGACCTGCATGAACCCAGTCAGCAAGTCTGACCACCCGATTCCCTTATTCGCTTCTTACGACAAGCATGGGTTGCTGAAGGCCTATTCCAACTCAGATCTTCACTGGTCTGACAAAAAAGTGTTTTGCAACAATGTGACTGAAGAGGCCTCTAGCATTCTCTGGCTAGTGGATTGATGAGTATCTGAAAACGAGTAAATGACCATCGAAGTCTACTTACAACACCAGTTTTTCGCCTTTTTCCATGATCAGGAGGGGTGAATTTTCCCGTAGGTCGACCTGACAAAGTAAAGTTGCAATGTTTTATTTACTTTCCCATAAATTAAAACATTGTTCTTAATACAAAAAGCAAAATGAGTGAAGTGAGTGAGTGAGTATGGTTTTACGCCGCTTTTAGCAATATTCCAGCAATATCCTGGCAGGGTACACCAGAAATGGGCTTCACACATTGTACCCATGTCGAGAATCGAACCTGGATCTTCGGCGTGATGAGCCAACGCTTGAACCACTAGGCTACCCGACCGCCCCATGAGTGAAGTGAGTGAGTGAATGTTGTTTAATGCCACAGTTAGTGAAACTCCAGGCAGGGTCTGGACAGGACACAAACCAGGAGTTGATATTATGATCAACGTCCCACCAACGTTTTACACACTGTATCCATTAGAGCAATCAAACCTGAGTCTTTGGGATGACGAACGACACTTTACCCATTTGGTTACTCCGAAGTCCAAACTTAATATGTGATTAAGTGCATAAAGTAATGCAGTTTGTAAAAGTTTACCACTTCAGTGAAACCCATTAGTATCGACAAAACTAGAATCATAATCAGGGTGATCTTATTTTCGAACCCATGATCATTAGATCCTGTTGTGCCTAGGGGATACAACTCTGCCCCCCTTAAAACTAACTGTAGCTTTAATCTAATTGATTGATTACCTCTGTTGTACTCATCCATTGGTCGTTTACTGTTGTAATAAGGCGGAACTGTAGGTTTTGCTGAAGCAATGGCGTCGGGCGATAATGGCATATTATTACCACCCATGATTCCCTGAAAGACAAAAAATAAATATTATATTTTCTATTACATAACTGACTGGCCTGATATGAAGCATTTTAACCGAAAACCACATCATTCGTTTGTTCAATTGTTGTTGTTTTACGCTGCACTCAGCAATATTACAGCTATATGAAGGCGGTTTGCAAATAATCAAGTCTGGACCAGATAATCCAGTGATCGACATCATGAGCATCGATCCACGCAATTGGGATCGATGACATGCATCAACCAAGTCAGCGAGTCCGACCACCCGATCCCGTTTGTCGCCTCTTACGACAAGCATAGTCGCCTTTAACGGCAACCATGGGTTGTTGAAGACCTATTCTATCCCGGATCTTCATGGGCCCGGTTTACAAAGTAAAAAGTGGGAATAATGACGCTTTATGACATACAGAATCTCGCCCCGTTGTCTTTTGATAACAAATATCAAACAGGAGGTACAATGGCTCACTTGAATGTCTTGATATTTGCTTCTTTAAGATAAAATTTCCTGTTCTAGAATAAACTCCTGGGTGCTGTTGTACAAAGCAAACTTAGCGCTAAGGTGATCGTAACTCCCATACCTTAACAGACTTACGACAGTTGTAGCGCTAAGGTTGTTTAGTACAACGGCACCTGGTCGTGAAAGGGTACTGCCTAACATATGCAAAACACAACATGTTTCTACACAATTGCTGATAATAGATTATACTCTGCTGCGATCAAGGGAAGTGAAGCTTAGCTTGCAGGTGTCGATATATACGGGGAGCTGGCATAAAAATATATGCAGCAAATCAATAATATATATATGTACAGGTTTAACACTGTCAGATTAAATTTCAAGTTGCTATCGATGTCTACAACCTTCTATTCAGATGAGCTAAGAAACAATTCACCCAATTCAGTGTCTACCTTAGCCACAGGCTATTTGTGAGTGAGCAAAGTTTCACACTGTCGTCACCAATATTCAAGCTATACTTTTCAATTTAATCAAATTTGTAGTGAGTATGGTTTTACGCCGCTTTTAGCAATATTCCAGCAATATCACGGCGGGGGACACCAGAAATGGGCTTCACACATTGTACCCATGTCGGGAATCGAACCCGGGTCTTCTGCGTGACGAGCGAACGCTTTAACCACTAGGCTACCCGACTGCCCCAATCAAATTTGTAAGATATATGAGAATTGTGTTTAGGTATCATGGATAGATAAAACTATCCATATCACAACGTGGACTGACATGACGATTGGCTAAAACACATCTGGAGCTACTGAAATACTGAAACATAACCCACTTTATTTGGTTTTGGTTGGTTTGTTGTTTTACGCTGCACTCAGCAATATTACAGCTATATGACGGCGGTCTGTAAAATAATCAAATCTGGACCAGACAATCCAGTGATCGATATCATGAGCATGGATCCACGCAATTGGGATCGATGACATGCATCAACCAAGTCACCGAGCCTGACCACCCGATCCCTTTAGTCGCCTTTTACGACAAGCATAGTCGCCTTTTATGGCAAGCATGGGTTGCTGACGACCTATTCTACCCCGGATCTTCAAGGGTCCATAACCCACTTTAAACAGTCTGGGGGTAAGATAAATGCTGTGGTGGTGATTACCGATTTGATTCCCAACCTCACATCCGTCACACACACAAGAAATGCCCTTCACACGTTTTTGTTTGAAATATAAGACAAACATGCTTCAAAATAGGCCTACCATCACCAAAAGAATCTATCACACAGGAGCTGGACAAGGTTTAATTAATGCCAGTACCAATGTTTATTTATACAATGGTAATATTGCACAGGCTATTTATATCATATTTCAACCAATAATGAATAGTTGTATATATTGTGCGACTGAAAGATTGATTCTGAGGCTTGTTTTTGCCAATGTGTTCACATAGCCCCAGGGACAAGTCACATATTTCTCAACACAGACGATTAAAATCATGACGTCCGCAACTACTTCAGGTCACTAGCACTCACAATACCAGCAGGAAAAACATTGGGCGTGGTTTCACTACTAGATCAGGACAATGGGAATCTCATTTATCCATTCATGCACATCCTTAACGTCATGATGAGACACTGGCTGCCTTGCGAGTCATAGTTTCTCCAGGTGTTTAAACAAGAAAAACTACAACAAATAATGCTTCTCGCCCTCTTCCAATACCTCAAATCTGAGGGCTAGTCACATATTCCCGACCCTTGTTTTTAAAGCCTTGTAAATGGACACAACATTATTGAAGAAGACCTGTTCCGCAGTCAATGCTGGTCTCCCCCTGGCAATACCTCAAATCTGAGGGCTAGTCCCACATTCTAAACCTTATTTTGAAAGCCTTGTAAATTAGGCCTTAATTTGTTTCATAATCAATGCTGCAATACCTCAAATCAGAGGGCTAGTCACATATTCCCAGCCTTATTTTTAAAGCCTTGTAAATGGACCCCACAACATTATTCAAGCCCTGATTTGTCCCACTATCAATGTTGCAATACCTCAATTCAGAGGGCTAGTCACATATTCCTAGCCTTATTTTCAAAGCCTTGTAAATGGACCCCACAACATTATTTAAGCCCTGATTTGTCCCGCCATCAATGCTGCAATACCTCAATTCCGAGGGCTAGTCACATATTCCTAGCCTTATTTTCAAAGCCTTGTAAATGGACCCCACAACATTATTTAAGCCCTGATTTGTCCCGCCACTTCACAAACACCAGGACAAAACCTGCCACAAATCAATGCTGAGCTGCTGCTGCTGCTGCTGCTGCTGGTTGGTGCGTCCCTCCATTCCCTGATGCTCAGGGGCGAGTCACATGTGCGAACCAGCTGCACACCCCGTGTGTATTTAACATTTCAGAATCAGGGTCTGAGCTGCCTATATCCTTTACTTACACATCCAGAACCTTATATCTACCCGCAAAAAATTGAAATTATATCCCCTTTTCTGCTATACAAATAAAATACACATGGAAAGAATCCCACTGGAGCTCGGCAGAACTAGAGTCGGGAACAATACAATCCCATGTGGCCACCATAAGTCGCGTTCTTTTCCGCAAAATAAATCGTCCTTTCGCCCTCGTTGGCAAGTTAGGTTCGAGAACATCCGGAAGTTACACACCCTCTGTTTTTACCACTCTCGACTTGGTTTTTTCCTTTCTCTTGATTTTTGAAGACATACGTCTGTGGAACAGAGTTTCATATTTTTTTTTTAGATGAAACATTTGTCATCTGGATACCTGTTCTCTATTGATGTTCATATTTGTGGTTTATCTATGAATTCTGAAAAATATCTGCAATAGTGCAAATTTTCTTTTTTAATTAAAATAAAACAGAGTTAACCAAAGAACAGTTTTGTGTTCTATATTGTTTTATAAGTTTGTGATTTTGATTTTTGTTCTCTATCTTAAGAAATCAAACATAGAACTGTAACAGATTAAAACACATAACTTGGAGAGAATATTATGGTATAAATCTTGTATAATATTTTAGAGAAGATTCTTTCGCCATGACACTTATATTTATTTCATCAAGTCGGAAATAGAATTTCACAAACAAAGAAAACCTTTTTAAAACTGTTCCTCAAAAATGTCAGATATATAATTTTTTATCTCATCATAAGCCACAAAAACACAGCTATCTAACATCAATTCAATTTCCATCTGCTCAAGCATTTTCTATAGGATTTTATAAGAATTTTCTATTCATGTACCTTGAGTAATTGGGTTACCTACACTATCAATCAGGTAACCAAACGATCGCTTCTTGAATAATATTATTTTCAAGAAAAAATAACTATATGCATCTGAAGGTTTGTTGTACATGCAGAAATCAGATTTCAATTTCCAACACAAATAAAGTTGTGCTGAACAATTTTGATCAGAACAAAATTTCGAACATTTTAAAATGGTGAGATGCACACAATTTTACTCAGAATAGAATTTAAAACATTTTAAAATGGTGTCACATACACAACTGTAATCACAATAGAATTTAAAACATTTAAATTGGTCTTGTATATACAAATTTAATCAGAATACAATTTCAAACAATGAAATTGGTATAATATACAAACAAATTTAATCAGAATACAATTTCAGACACCTTAAAGTTGTGCTGTAAACACAGTTACAATCAGGACACTCCCAGCAGCCAATACACAATAACCCTACAAATGATTGAGAATACACACTTTCAACACCATTCACTCCATTCATTAAATCTTAACTGAACAAAAGTACCTTTAAATCATTCCATTCATCTGAAAATATTCCTCTATAATCGAAAGAATTATTTCCCCAAACCAGCTATCAAGTCACTGTTTACCTTAATATCTTGGACAATTCTTTAAATAACAAGTCAAGCACCTTCATAAATCTTTAACCATGTTCTCAAACTGCAGGGGAAATTATCACCAAATACATACCGCTGTTGTCATTTCAGCACAATTTAAAACATCAGCATTTCACACGATTAAAAATAAAATACTTTTTGGTAATTTGTACACCATATCTAAAACACACTCACATATAACACAATGAATATTTCAAGTTAAGAAATAAATCCTGTATTGCATAAATGTTATTCAGATTGCTATACTTTTCTCCACATTACTCAATTTCGTTGCATATAAAAAACAATTCCATTGAAAAGGAACGTATTTACGCATTTGCAACAAAGCTGAACCAACACTGGCTGTCCCGTGATGTCGTCATTTCTAAAACATTTTCCAATGCAGAAGCATGTTTTCATAACAATACAATACATGAACTGTTGCCGTAATAAAAGACTATGTAAAAATAGTCTCAACCCACGGAAGCAAAATACTGACAAGCCATTGCATCTTCATCTCAATCGTCTCAAAAAAAGGACAGCACAAAGTTCTAAATAGTAACTGATAAATATAATATTCTGATTTAAAGAATTTAACATTCACCCATAAGTAAAGGTCACAACCTGGTTCCAAGAATAATATTCCTAAAATACAACCTGATCTAGAAATT